AGAAGTCCAACCATCCAAACCTGATTTATTTTAAATTTTAGTCAAATTTTTAAAATTATTGATAAAATAAATAAATACCTAATGTAAGATTAACCTCATTAACAAGGCCATTGTTAATTTTTGAAATTACTTTTGCACATTCTAAATTAACAAATGTAGTAGACAATGTGGTTCTTTTAGGAAGATGAAAACCAGGACATAAATTAGTAATAAAATCTACAAAGAATGGGTTTTCAACAACCCAAAATGGAATTCCACAACAAACAAAAAATTTTGTTAAAGCATATGAACATCTAAGTTGTTTTTCATTTGTAATTGTTTTTTTCTCAAGATGATCAAAAATTTTTGTTTGTTTTTTGTTTTTTTTTTTAATTATTATTTACATCATCATCATCCTCACTAATCTCATCATTTTGCAATACATTTTGAAACTTTATATGTATATCAGGTGGTGGAGGTTTAGTGCATGACAATGCAATATGAGATATCATATCAGAACTTTTCCCACGAGCCCATTGTTGACCACAGTAATTACATTTTGCACCAGGTCGTTTATTATTGTTATTATTGTTAGAGCTACCAATTTCAGTAAAATGTTGCCAAATTGGTTTTCTTGGTCTACCAATTTTTCTTCTTAAATGATTATTAGTTTGTAATGAAGTCAATTCATCATTGTTATTCATCTAATTATAAAAACAATTAATATACACATAACAGGTACCACTGGATAAATAAGAATCAACAAAGATAATATTTACTTTGATTTTAAATAATTGAGTTGGTTTTGTTATATTGATTAACTAATGGGTGGACCTTGGGATATTAATTATTCATTTAAAATTTTATGTGTGAGAAAAAATAAAAACTACATTTTTACTGAGCATGCCTGTATGCATGATGTTTAACTATCCAAATTTTTCTAAACTTAAAAAGTAAAATAAAATAATAATTTGTTTGACTATAATGTTTAGACTATTTCTTATTTATTTACATAAATTGTTACATTTATCATGATTTAATTATATGTAATTTATTACACAGATATTTGATAGTGTTAGGTATTCAAATATATAAAAATTATTTGACATGCTAATTTTGTTAGTCAAAATACCCTAATTCCAAACCAAATCTTTTATTTCTTTTTACTTTATTTTTATTTGTATAACGTTAAAATTAGTTGGCTTTATTTAGAAATTAGCATCACGGTTAGAATGTTACGTCGCGATATCACAGCTAGAATGTTAGATTGCTCAAATTCGACTTGCTTGTAAAATAACTTTGTCTTAAAGTTTTATAATAAAAATTAACTTAGAAATAAGTTAATAAATTAGTTTTGACTAAATAAAACATTTTTCTTAAATCACTAAACCAAAATTATTTGCTAATAAAACTAATTCATTAGTAGCCAATTCATTCTGATCCACATAATCTTAAATTTTATATTGTTATCATCAATTAACACACTCTCCCAAACAATAATTGGTGACAATATCATTTTGATTTCATACAAAGTAATTTGGAATGTACAAATTAATTTGGGATTTGGGAATTCTTCAATAGGCTTTCCAAAATTTAATTTGTACATTTGGGATGCCATAATCCCAAATAATTTAGGATTTGGGCAGCATCTATAGTTTACACGTGCTCCTATTTATACATAACTTTTATTTCCTCCTCCACTTCTGGTTGTTATATATATAACTTCCAAATACTTGAACAAATGCAAGCTTCATGATAACTAGAACAAATTTCTTCCACCCTGTTCCGCCTCTATTGTTTTGAGCTTCATGTCTTCGTGAACCATTAATGTTTTTATACCCATAATCATGTTGGCACAGATTGCGTTTATAAGTTTGATTCTAATTTGAAAATAAAAAACAAAAACTATAAGACTAA